ATAGATGTGGTTTTGTTTGATTTGGATGAATATTGTTTTAATAGAAAGGATTGGGAAAGATATGTATCATTAAATGGCTTTGGATGCATGGGAAATCTGGGATAAAGCCTATTTAAACTCATTTTCAATAGATGGTTTGGACTATCTGGCCTCAATTTATAGCCTAATATCTCAGGAAAAACCTGGAGAACCACCCCACAAAAAATGGCACCCAATGGACGAGTATTGCAGCCTGCAGAAATAATTTTTATATTTTGGAAAAGGACCCCAGACACCCTATGTCAGCTTTGGTATGATGGTATGAAGACATCATACCATCTGGTATGGTATGGTGACATGGTATTGGTATGGTATGGTAACATGGTATTGGTATGAGTGGGGTATGGTATGGGTTTTCCATTCCATGGTACCATGGTATTGGTATGGAGCTCATATACCACCCCGGAATGGGTACCCTCAAGGTACCCTAAATCAAGGAATTGATGTACCTCATAGGTACCCAAAAATGGGTGACTGAAGTGAGGATATAGGTGTAGAATGGTAAGATTGGAATTCATTGATGCACTGGCTAGATTTAATTCTGAAACCTGGCAGAAGTCTGATAATCAGGTACTTCCACAGATACAAGTCTGACATGGTTAAGGAAAAAAAGGCTAGACATCTCAAACAACATTGCTTTTGGGCAGCAGAAGTCAACAACTTTATTACTGTTGACCAGCATGATAAGTAGAAACAATTTGGACTTGCTCTTCACATTGGTGAAGATCCCTTCTGTGGAGTGACTCACTGGCTCAGGGTTTGGCATAAAAATAACAACCCAAAGCTTGTGCTTTCATATTACTTGGACTGGGCTGAAGTTTTTGGATGTGAGTCATGTTTTATTCCAGACTCACCCACCTGATTCAAATCCTCTTAGATATTCCTCTCATCACTCAGAGTGATCTGGGTTCCAAAAATTATGGAATCATGCAAATGCACAAAGTATTTTTCACCAATGGCATAATCCTCACCTTGAAGAAATACTCCAGCATTGATGGATGCACTGCAAGAAGAATGTCAAACCTGAAATTGCCTAGTTGGAGCCCAGATGCCAATTTGCACCAGGCTTTGAGACAATAATTCAGAAGGGAGTAATGGCAGGCTGGTATGATATGACTTAACCTCTTGATGTGTGAGTCTAAGCATTCACTGCCCATGACCCAGAAAGAATATTAACATATATAAATGTAGCCTTGTGTTCCATTGGCTATTTATTTTGTGGCTTCAGACAGAAATTAACACCTACATGGATAGAGTTAACAACACTCAAAAGTGTGCAGATCATAACAAAGTATTGCCTCATGGTCCCCCCAATTATATTTTTGCCTCTCATCATAGTGATATAGTTGTCTTGACTTCAAGGTGAGTATCCTTGTCCAGATCAAGAGCTTGTATTGACTTTATTTAAAGGTCAAGGTTGAGCCTGAGGCATTTGAATATGTTAGAGAAAAGTTTGCCCCACCTTCAAATCCAGTCTTCATGCTTGGCCCCTCAATTTTTGCAGCATATGCTGGTCAAGCATACACAAAGATTGGTAGCTCTGAGCTTAATTCTGTCAATATCTGGCCAGTTTATTGTGAAATAAGTGGAGGTCTTTACGCTGCCACTGCTTATCCGAGCAGACTCTGGCCGGACTCCGTCGGACTGAGGGTATTCAGAACAGACATTTTTTCTGCTTTGCAACTACAGCAATTTTCCGGTGAATGTCTGAAGCTTTTCCGAGCATTTCTGGTTGGACCTCTAAGTCTGTTGGACTTTTCCAATGGACTTCCGATGGACTAACAGCAAACTAACAGCCAGTCCACCGGAAATGACAGGCAAGCACCAACGGAATTCCAACAGACTCTTATTATAATTATATAATATAAAAAAATGCAACATCATGGAATTGAAAACTGGACCTCAGGGACTGAAGAATATTGAACACGACGCTGAACCAGCTGCACTACGGCAGCTTTGATATAGATAGGTGTTTTGCAATATACATAGCTACTATTTGACTGGTGGCTACCACTTTTATGATAAAACCAAGGCAATTGCCTGCAGAGCTGTGTGTATAAGTCCACAAGTTTTATGAAAGGCCTTTCATAGATGTGTCCTGTGTTTTCTTTCTCATAAAGGCTATGTTCTTTTCATAAAATATAGGCAAGGCCACAGGGTGCTTTTCATAATTAAGCCTGTGTGCTTTCAATAGGTATTTCATTCACTGGGTTAGGTGTATTCATTGCCTTTTTCATAATTAATGCTGTGCGCTTTCATTGAATATTTCATTAGGAATTTTGGGTGCTTTCATTGCTTTTTTCATAATCAATCCTGTGTGATTTCAATAAATATTTCATTGACTATGTTAGGTGTATTCATTGCCTCTTTCATAATTAATGCTGTGCACTTTCATTGAATATTTCATTAGGAATTTTGGGTGCTTTCATTGCTTTTTTCATAATCAATCCTGTGTGATTTCAATAAATATTTCATTGACTATGTTAGGTGTATTCATTGCCTCTTTCATAATTAATGCTGTGCGCTTTCAAGTTTTATGAAAGGCCTTTCATAGATGTGTCCTGTGTTTTCTTTCTTATAAAGGCTATGTTCTTTTCATAAAATATAGGCAAGGCCACAGGGTGCTTTTCATAATTAAGCCTGTGTGCTTTCAATAGGTATTTCATTCACTGGGTTAGGTGTATTCATTGCCTTTTTCATAATTAATGCTGTGCGCTTTCATTGAATTTTTCATTGAAGCTGTTCAGTTCTTTCATTGTACTTTTCATAAGTAAACCTGTGCGCTTTCAATAGGTATTTCATTCACTGGGTTAGGTGTATTCATTGCCTTTTTCATAATTAATGCTGTGCGCTTTCATTGAATATTTCATTAGGAATTTTGGGTGCTTTCATTGCTTTTTTCATAATCAATGCTGTGTGATTTCAATAAATATTTCATTGACTATGTCAGGTGTATTCATTGCCTCTTTCATAACTAATGCTGTGCGCTTTCATTGAATATTTCATTAGGAATATTGGATGCTTTCATTGTACTTTTCATAATTAATGTTGTGCAATTTCAATAAATATCTCATTCCTTAGGTCAGGTGTATTTATTGCCTCTTTCATAACTAATGCTGTGCGCTTTCATTGAATATTTCATTAGGAATATTGGATGCTTTCATTGTACTTTTCATAATTAATGTTGTGCAATTTCAATAAATATCTCATTCCTTAGGTCAGGTGTATTTATTGCCTCTTTCATAATTAATGCTGTGCGCTTTCATTGAATATTTCATTAGAAATATTGGATGCTTTCATTGTACTTTTCATAATTAATGTTGTGCAATTTCAATAAATATCTCATTCCCTAGGTCATATTATGGTCCATCCAATGGGTCATTGGGAGGGTGGTCACATGACCAATTTCCAAAAATGGTAAAAAACAAAAGTTGTAGCTCTTTACCATAGCTTCCTGAATCAGTTGGAATTATGTCCTAAAGTGCTTCCATTGTGGAGATATGAGGTAAAAGGTTTTCAAAAGCGCCACGTTTTTTTTTGTTTTTTGCATTTTTCTACGTGAAAAGAACACTAAACAACATGATTTCAACAGATTTAGAAAGCTAAGAGAAGGGGCTACAACTATTGTATCGTGGGAAATTTCTCCCAAAAAGGTACATGCCCTAAAAGGGTAATTGACACTGACAGACTACAAAAGATTGCTGATATACTACAAAAGTAAGTTATAGCCTACAAAGTTTACTAATAGACTACAAAAGTTGGACATAGACCACAAAGGTCAGACAAAGACTACAAAAATTAGTAGTGTCTGCTTTTCTCATTACAAAAGTTAA